TGACTTACATTCAGGTCTTTGATTCCTTTTGAGTTTACTTTTGTGTATGTAGTTAGACAGTAATCCAGTTTCATTCTCTTACATGTTGCTGTCCAGTTTGAAGCTAACATCAACTATTGAAGAGGCTGTCATTTTCCCCTTTGTATATCCATGGCTCTTTTAGCATATACTAGTTGAACATATATCCTTGGGTTTTTATCTCAGCTCTCAATTCTGTTCCATTGATCAATGGGTCTGTTCTTGTGCCAGTACCAAATTGTCTTGATTGCTGTGGCTTTGTAGTAGAGCTTGAAGTCAGGAGCATGATCCTCCCAGCTTTATCTTTTCCTTCTCAGGATTGCTTTGGCTATTCAGGGTCTTTTGTGGACCTATTGAATTTTAGAACTGTTTGTTTTAGTTCATTGAAGACTGCTGTTGGTATTTTGATAGGAATTGCATTGAATCTGTAGATTACTTGAGGCAGTATGGCCATTTTGACAATACTAAATCTTCCTACCCATGAGCACAGGATGAATTTCCATTTACTGGTGTCTTCTTTAATTTCTCTCATGAGTGTCTTGTAGTTTTTAAGGTGTAGGTCTTTCACCTCCTTGGTAGGGTTTATTCCTAGGTATTTTGTTCTTTTTGATGCAATTGTGAATGGAATTGTTTTCCTGATTTCTCTTTCTGCTAGTTCATTCTTAGTATATAGGAATGCAACAGATTTCTGTATTTCTGTATATTGATTTTGTATTCTGCAACTTTGCTGAATTCAGATATTAGATCTAGTAGTTTTGGAGTGGATTCTTTAGGGTTTTTTATATACAATATCATGTCATCTGTAAACAGGGACAGTTTAACTTCTTCCTTGCCAATCTAGATGCCTTTTATTTCTTTGTGTTGTCTGATTGTCGTGGCTAGGACCTTCAGTACTATGTTGAATGAAAGTGGGATGAGTGAGAATCCTTGTCTTGTTCCCAATCTTAAAGGAAAAGCTTGTAGCTTCTCACTGTTAAGTATAATGTTGACTGTGGGTTTGTCATATGTGTCCTTTATTTTGCTGAGGTACTTGCCCTCTATACCCATTTGGTTGAGAGTTTTTATCATGAATGGATGTTGAATTTTGTCAAATGCTTTTTCAGCATCTATGGAGATGATCATGTGGTTTTTGTCCTTCTTTTTGTTGATGTGGTGTATGATGTTGATGGATTTTCGAATATTGTACTCTCCTTGAATCCCTGGAATAAATCCTACTTGATCATGATGGATGATCTTTTTTATGTATTTTTGAATTAGGTTTGCTAATATTTTTTGAGTATTTTTGCATCCATGTTCATCAGGGATATTGTTCTGTAATTTTCTTTTTTTGTGGTGTCTTTGTCTGGTTTTGGTATTAGAGTGATGCTGGCCTCATAGAATTAGTTTGGAAGTATTCCCTCTTCTTCTACTTTTGGAAAACTTAAGGAGGATGGGTATTAGGTCTTCACTAAATATTTGATAAAATTCAGTGGTGAAGACATCTGGTCTAGGGGTTTTTGTTCTTAGGTTGTTTTTGATTACCAGTTCAATTTTGTTGATTGTAATTGGTCTGTTCAGATTTTCTGTTTCTTCCTGGGTCAGCCTTGGAAAGCTGTATTTTTCTAGAAAGTTGTTCATTTCTTCTAGGTTATGCAGGTTGTTAGCATATAATTATTCATAGTATTCTCTAATAATTCTTTGCATTTCTGTGGTGTCCATAGTGATTTCTCCTTTCTCCTTTCTGATTCTGTTTATGTGTGTAGACTCTTTTTTTCTTGATAAGTCTGGGTAGGGGTTTACCTATTTTATTTATTTTCTTGAAGAACCAGCTCCTGCTTTCATTGATTCTTTTTATTGTTTTATTCTTCTCAATTTTTTTTTTCTGCTCTGATCTTTATTATGTCCCTGCTTGTAGTGACTTTGGCCCTCATTTGTTCTTCTTTTTCTAGTTTCATTAATTCTGAGTTTAGACTGTTCATATGGGATTGTTCTTCTTTCTTGAGGTAAGCCTGTATTGCAATATACTTCCCTCTTAGCATAGCCTGCACTGCCTCCCACAGATTTTGTGGTGTTTAGTTACTGTTTTCATCTGTGTCCATATATTGCTTGATCTCTGTTTTTTTTTGGTGATTGATCCATTAATTATTTAGGAGCATGTTGTTAAGCCTCCATATGTTTGTGCACTTTTTTGTTTTATTTGCATAATTTATTTCTAGTTTCATACCTTTGTGGTCTGAGAAGCTGGTTGGAACAATTTCAGTCCTTCTGAATTTACTGAGGCTCTTTTTGTGGCCTAGTATATGATCTATTCTTGAAAATGTTCCATGCGCATCCTTCTGCTTTTGGGTGGAGTGTTCTGTAGATGTCTGTTGGGTACATCTATTCTAATGTGTCATTCAGTGCCTATGTCTCATTACTTAGTTTTCTGTCTGGTTGATCTGTCCTTTGGAGTGAGTGGTGTGTTCAAGTCTCCTAGAATGAATGCACTGCATTCTATTTCCCCCTTTAATTCTGTTTATATTTGTTTCACATAGGTAGGTGATCCTGTGTTGGGTACATAGATATTTACAATGGTTATATTCTCTTGTTGGACTGACCCCTTTATCATTATGTAATGTCCTTCTTTATCTCTTGTTACTTTCTTTGTTTTGAAGCCTGTTTTGACTGACATAAGTAATGCAACTCCTCCTTTTTCTCCCTAGAAGTTGCATGAAATATCTTTTCCATCCCTTCACTTTTAGCCTGTGTATGTCTTTGGATTTGAAGTGGGTCTTTTGTAAGCAGCATATAGATGGGTCTTGTTTTTTTTATCTATTCAGTGACTCTATGTCTTTTGATTGATGCATTCAGACCATTTACATTTAGGGTGATTATTGATAGGTATGTACTTATTGCCATTGCAGGCTTTAGATTCATGGTTACCAGTTTCAAGGGTAACTTCCTTACTATCAGTCTGACTTAACTCGTTTACTACACTATTACAAACACAGTCAAAAGCTTCTTTTCTTTCCCTCCTTTTTCTTCCTCCTCCATTCCTTATATGTTAGGAATCTTACTCTGTACTCTTTGTCTATCCCTTGATTGACTTTGGGGGTGGTTGATTTGATTTTGCATCTGCTTAGTAATTAATTGGTCTGCTTTCTTTACTATGGTTTTATTTCTTCTGGTGATAGCTATTTAGCCTTAGGAACTCTTCCATCTCTAGCAATCCCTGTAAAATACACTGTAGAGATGGTTTGTGGGAGGTAAATTCTCTCAGCTCTTGTTTATCTGGAAATTGTTTAATCCCTCCTTCAAATTTAAATGATAATCTTGCCAGAGTATTGTTGGTTCAAGGCTCTTCTGCTTCTTGCATTGAATATATCATGCCCCTCCCTTTTGGCCTGTAAAGTTTCTGTTGAGAAGTCTGATGATAACCTAGTGGTTTTCCTTTGTATGTGATCTTTTTTCTCTGTCTGGCTGCTTTTAACACTTTATCTTTATCCTTGATCTTAGCCATTTTAATTATTATACATCTTGGTGTTGTCTTCCTTATGTCTCTTGTGTTGGGAGATCTGTGGACTTCCATGGCCTGAGAGACTATTTCCTTCTCCAGATTAAGGATGTTTTCAGCAATTATTTCTTCAAAGACATTTTATATCCCTCTTTCTCTCTCTTCTTCTTCTGGTACCCCTATAATGTGAATATTGTTCCTTTTGGATTGGTCACGCAGTTGTCTCAATATTCTTCATTCCTAGAGATCCTTTTCCTCTCTGTGCCTCAGCTTCTTTGTATTCTTGTTCTCTAATTATTATTTCATTTACCATCTCCTCTACTTTATCAAATCTGCTTTTAAATCCCTCCATTGTATGTTTCATTTTGGATACTGTATTTTTCAAAGTTTCTATCTCTTTCTTGAATTACTCCCTGAGTTCTTATATATTTTTCTGTAGCTCCATGAGCATGTTTATTTTTATTTTGAAAATATTGTTGGTGAGTTGTTTCACTTGGCTCTTTCTGGTGTTTGTGGGATTTTGGTATGAACCAGGTTCCTTTTACATTTCATATCTGCAGGTGGTGCCCTCTAGTGACCAGAAACTCTACTCTCTGGAGCTGCTCAGTCCCTGGAGTAATGGCAGGGGTTGCAGGCCAGCACTGCTGGTGCCTGCCAGAGGAAAGAGATCTTTCCTGCTTCTTGGCTGCAGTGTATGCATCTACTGCCAGGGCCAGTGGGCTGAGTGTGCAAGGGAAGCCTCTATGCTATGCCCTTGTAGCTGCCATATATGGGGCCATCCTTTGGCTGGGCAGGTGCAATGGCAGGGGCAACAGATTTGCAAGCTGGTGCTGGCTGGGAGGAAGGAGCAGTAGGCTGCATATCATGGTGGGGGGCCTCAGAGCTGCATTGCCAGCCAGGGGGTTGGAGCCCCTGAAGCTCCTGAAAGTTCCCAACCTGCTGTGCTTAGTTTGCTGGGACAATTTTGTCCACCTGTTCTGTCTCCTGAGCTGCAAGCTCTGTACAGTTCTTGCCCCTTTAGCAGCCATCTCATTATTGGGAGGTCTCTCAGAATGCCCACCTTTCTTTTGTCCCAGAGCAGCTGGTTGTGGATAAATGTTTTCCACAAGTTGCTGGAATCTCAGTCTCTCCAAGTATTCTGCCTGTCTTAGCTTTCCAAGCCCACTAATCTCCAGAGCACCATGTAATGTAGGTTTGTGCTCGCAGAGCCAATCTCCAGGGCTGGGTGTTCAGCAGTCCTAGGACTCTACCCTCTCCCTGCTCTGTTTCTCTTCCTCCCACTAGGTGAGCTGGAGTTGCGGTAGGGCTTGGAGCCCTCTGGATCGCGGCTTTGGTACTTTACCCTTTTCTGTTAGGTCTGCACTTTCCCCCAGTCTGCTGTAGCCTGCTGCAGCCTTCTTTTCTGTTGCTCTTTCAGAATTAGTTGTATTTGCTTTATTTTCAAATTATATGTGGTTTTGGGAGGAGGTTTCTGTCTCACGTATCACACCACCATCTTTAAGCTCTGAATTCATCTTTTATTTCACAGTATATATTAAGTGATACAAAGACTGAAATAATCAATTAAGTAAACTTTAATTCCCTGCTTTAAGTCTTTAAAACAATCAATCAGTGGATGACAATAATGTCTGAATTCTACCATCTTGCACTTTACATTAATAGCTTATTTATATAATTAATGACTCAAAATACCAGATTTGTTGTCTCTATATTTGTGATTTTACTATTTCTTAACCATTTACTTTTATTTCATCAATACTTAAAAAATTTATATGAAAAATTATAACAGATTCTCTCATTAAACCAAATATACTGTATATGGTTTAAACATTTTTAATGACTCAGTCATAATACTTTTCTAAATTCAACTAAAATTTAATGAGTATATATATATACTACCATAACATTCTGAAATTCTTTTATCACTTGTTACTATTATTATAATCATTTGTATTGGTTACTAACTACCATTATTGTATGTTTATTATGTAACATGCAGTATGTTACTTGCTTTCATATAACAACTAATGTAGTTATTTTAGTAACTGTCTGAGTTACTTGTTATTATTTTCTATCTTAAATTGAGGCAGAAAGACAGACTGACCCAATCCACTGACTCAGTCCAACTAGTTGTTCAAATGGCAATGTCAGAATTTGAACACAAGCCCACATACTTTCTAATCCATATTTGAATTGCTCTGTTCTGCTCTCTCCCAAATAACTTCACACATCTGTTTTCCCACTGAAATGTAAGCACCTTAAAAGCAAGGACCATGTCTCACTCTATCTCTGGTGCTTGGCCCACAGGGAGGACTCAGTAAATATTGAAGTAAACTAAACTTAGATGAGAACTTTGGCTCTAAGGGAAAACAATAACAAAAGCCCTACAAAACTGTTTCTTCATAAGTAATTTGCAGTTGTAGCTAACCTGATATTTGTTCTGTTCTAATATAATTAAGAACTTATAACCTTGTAGAAAAATGAACAAAAGACATGAAGAATTTACCAAAAAAAGGTAGAAATGATTCAACATATGAAAAGGTGTTAAAATTTACTAATAGTAAAATAACATGAATTAAAATGATAATGAGAAAATATTTCACAATTGCATTGACAAAAATTAAAAAGTTTGGCAACACACTTTGTAGATGTGGTTCTAAGATAACAGGGTACTCTCGTGTGTTGGTAGAAATGAAGAACCTCTGATGGAAATAAATTCATCAAAATATAACAAACAAGATACTAATTTACCCTTTGACTCACAGATCTAAATTGTAGAATTTACCTCTCAGCTTCAGTTTACCCTACAGTACCCGCTCTGTGATAATAGACTGGCCTGTTATTTCTCCTTAACAGAAGCACGATACTAAGCTTTGTCAGTAGAGGGCGCTGGAGGGACACTGCAGGAAGAAGGGGGCTGTTTGTGTCTGCGGAGCTGCATTTTGTTTTCACTTGCTCCTGTTGTACAGTCAGTCCATCAGTGATGTACAGTGGCTATGGGGAGGTAGGGGAGAATTTTATTAGTTTAGGTGGTACCAGAGGGCTTGGTCCCTTAATGACCTCCTATCCCCAGCCTACGCCTCATTACCAGCTTGCTGTGGACGTCCTGGTGAGGACATCAGAGGATCCTAGCAGGACCCTGACTACCCCAGGTGATTGTGTGCTAAGGGTTGTTTCCTGCTTACTTGGCAACTATGGAAAACTTTGGCCCGGGGAATCCAGCAAACTCTGCCATCCAGTAGGCTGCAACCATAACTTCTTCAATTAGTTCTAAGCTATTGGAAAGCTTACCCTTCCTTGGTTCTTCTCCCTCAGCCCTAGGGAATCTTTAGAGCAAGAGTCGGAAAACTATGGTCTACTGGCCAAATCCAGCTCACCACCTGTTCTGTAACTAAAACTGTATTACAACACTGCATGTCCATTTGCTCATGTGTTGTCTATGCAGTGTTAAATGGTTGTGACAGACAGTACGGTCTACAAAGCCTAAAATACTTACTATATGTCCCTTTATAGAAAAAGTTTTACAACCCTACTTTAGTTCCCTTTACATCTTTATGATATCCTCCTATTACAGCTTCATAATTTTTAATATTAATTTTCCCCTATTTAAATTACCAGGTGATTTGTCTCCAGATTGATACTACCTCTAGCAATACAAAAATACTTATGCACAAGGTTACTTATTGCAGCATTACTTGTAATTGCAAAAATAACCTAAATGCCTTAATATGGGAGGTTGGTTTAATAAATTATGATATCCATACAAGAGAGGGCTCTGTAGCTATGAAAATGAATTAGGGAATCTCTTAAGAACAGTTATAGAGCAACTTTCAGAGTATGTTATTAAGAGAAAAAAGAAAAGCACAAAAGAGTATATGAAGTATGCCAGATGAGTAAGAAATCTTACTTCTTAAAAAAGAAGTATGGGAAGGATAAACCAGAGATTAGTAACATCAATTACCTACAGATGGTGGATTGGAATAGAATAAAAGGAATAGAAGAGGAATCAGCACTTCTCTGCATTGCCTTTTTGTATAGTTTTGATTTGAAAACCTTGTTAGTATGTTACACACTCAAAAATGAAATTAAATCAACAACTATGAGAAAAGAAAATTGAATGCAAACAGAAACCAATTAACAATATCTCAAATTAATTGGAAGAAAAAGAAAATAATTCAATTTTGAATTAATAGCATGACCACATGGAAGAAAAAGAAAGTAATTCAAGTAACATTTGAACCAATACTTGGAATAAATACTCTCAATCAAAAAAATACTAACTAAAAAAGAAACCTTAAACTCTGTTTAATAGTTTTGTTTGTTTTTGCAGATCATGGTTAAAACAATTCTGAAGCTAGTTGGGTATGGTAGAATTAAGCAAACAAATGCATATAGTGATAGTGATATGTTAGAAGTCTGGTCTCACCAAGAAGAAGACAGATACAAATATGAACTGGGAGAAGACTAAAAAGAATACTGAGGTATTTGTTGCGTTGGAATTAGAGTAATCTAGGTAGACAGACAGATAGAAGCAATAAACCCCAGTAGCAGGTGCCCATATCTTGGTTTTTAAATATCTCTATACTAAAGGGCTGATTCCAGGGCTAGAGCAATTACAGTTCAAGAACTAGGATCACATTATTGTGCTAGAAATTAAGAATGTTCTTTAAAAAATTATGGGAATCTGTGAAAAGTACACAGGAGCTGGCTTGGAGGGGCTTCTATTGGTCAAAATGGGGCAATACAAGCATCAAGTAAATAATGATGTTAATAGATTATATTACTATTCAGTAGGCAAATAATCCATTTATAGACTTAAAAACAAGAGCTAAAACTATGCAACATCTAAAAAAAAGCATAGAAGAAAATCTGTGATATTGGAATAAACAAAGATTTCTCACATAGGACAAAAAAAACCCAAATGACAACTACATGCGATCCTGGGTTGCAAAAGAAATGCTATAAAGGACATAATTGGGACAATTGGCAAATTTGAATATAGAGCGTGTATTAGGTAACAATATTTTATTATTGTTAAACTCCCTGGTGTTGATCATTTCACTGTGGAAAAGAATGTCTTTGCTATTCAGAGACACACACTTAATGAATTTAGTGGGTAAAAGGTCATGAAGTCTGTAATTTACTCTCAAATGTTTCTGCCAAAACTACTGTGGCTACTACTACAGCTATCACCACTACTACTAATAATAAAGTAATAGTAATAGTAGTAGTAGTGGAATACGGAGGAGTTGGGGGAAAGGGGAAAGGAATACAACAAAAACAGTAAAATGTTAATTGGTCCATCTAGGTGAAGGGGTCACTGTGTGCTGCTGGTGAGGCACATTAATAGTCAGGGACCCTTGCAGTTAGATCACAGTGCTTGCTGTTTGTTAGTTATGGATTTTTATCTACTCCTTTATTTTCATCTTCTAATATGCTGGGCTAAGTTGCCATCCAAAAGTTACCCTAGTATGATCTTCACAAAAATCCTGTGAGGTAGATACTGTTTTCTTCATTTATACAGATGAGACAACTGAAGGTCAAAGAGTTTCAGTGACTTGCCCGAGGTCATTGTTAGTAAATTATAAAACAGTATTTCAAACCCAGGACTGCAGGTCCTGTGTTCAGGTCTCAGGAGCCTGACTCTGACCAATGGCAGGTGCCAAAGAATCAGGAAGCAAAAGAGAGTAGCTTTGCAAGGTTAGAAGCAAGAGCCTTAGAACACAGACTCTGTGGGAATTCAGTAATTAGAAAACATAACTTAATAAAGTGACAACAAATGAATATCTAAAGATTTAACGTTCATATTATTACTTCCTCAAATGACCTGCAGTTTTATGTTGTTTTCTGTTCTTCAAACTACAGGTTAGCCTCACATATGCACCATTATTATTATTTTCTCAGATACATAAATATTCTTTTAAGATATTAGTATGTATCAGGTTTTGTGTATTTGTGTTTTTAAACTTCCTGTTGTATAGAAACATAAAGAAGGAAACAAGCAGAAAAATAATTCCTCTGATATTAAAAAAGGAAATATATGTATATGGTTAAAATATTCAAAATGTTTTCTTTCATTTCTTTCACTTAAAATATATGTTCTTAGACTATACAGTCTATTATATTCTTTTTTAGCAACTGTAGGGGATTCTGTTGTAAAGGTGTGACAGAGGTACATGTGTGTAGATTTGTGTGCATGTGTGTGCATGTGTTTAGGCCTATAATCACTGTCTCTTACTGGTGATTGTTTCTTCCATGAATTTGCAAGGATCATGTCTGACTGACTTTTGACTCTCAGAATCTGAGCAAAGGGGCTAGAACTAATGTTTATTGAGGCATAACTCTTATTGCTACATAAAAAGTTTTTTATGTATGAAGAGCAGTGGCAAAGAGCATAGGCTCAGACTACCTGGCACCAAATCCTACTTGCAGATGTGAGGTCTGGGATGGTTCCTGGGAATATTCTATGGCCTCCCTTGCCTCTGTTTCCTCATTGTAAATGGGGCTGTCGATAGCATACTTCTGGGCAGGTTTCCTTGCAGTAGAACTAGATAAAGTACGTGATTTACTAAGGGAGTACTCTCAGCAGACAGGCAGGGAGGCAGAGGGACAGGGCAGGGCTAAGTCAGGATGCAGTCTCAGCTGATGTCTAGCTGCAGTCTGACCCACAGGGAGCTCGTGGATTGGACCACAAAGTTAGTCCCACTTTAAGACATGGGGCTAGCTTTTTATGCCCTGTGTGCCTCAGTCATTGGCTGCCGAAAGTCACCCAGGGTTGATATGCAGTGTAATCTCCCAGAGCAGCAACTGTTAGACTGAAGGCAATTCTCTGGAGAAAAGGCAGAGCTGTAAACCTTTAGCAAGCCCCACTCACAACAGCTGGGAGGTGGGTGCGCCTGCCTGGACATGGGCAAGGAATACGTAAGGCACTGGTTCTTCCAGATAATCTAATCTGAAGCCTTCATTTGCTCCTCATCACTCACAGGACAAAATCCAAATTCCTTGTGTTGTGGCTATTCCACCTGCTGCTCTAACTGTGCCTACAGGAGGATTCAGACATGGCAGGTCATGCTAAAGGGACAGGTGGTAGCAGCGGACTTCCTAGGGATATAATGAGATAAATTGAGGGACCTCAGTGGATAAAAGTCAGACAATGGAAAGACAATGCATGCAAGCATAGTCTAGTACCAATGTCTGGGCACAGTACTGTGCTTATCTCCAAGATGCACTTGTGCCAGACTCCTAGGCATGGAGGCTAACTGCAGAGATCAAAAAGAGTTATTTTTATATAAAAATATCTGGGAGCTTAAGGCAACCTTGTTTGGATGTGGGTAATACAAAGTGTGGGAAAAGAGATTGCCTTCTCTTGAGTGGGGCACACAGCCATGCGCCTTCCCACTAGCACAGTGTCAAGGCCAGTGGTCGTACAGGCTTGGGCCTCACTGAACAGCCTTGGTGCAGTGTGCTTTTGGCAGATATGAGTGGGAGACAGCACTGGGGGCTTTGATGGCAAAGGAAGTCCCTGTGCCTTCCCAGTGGTGGCAGACATCAGAGGCAATGGCTGCACGCATGCCCGTGGAAAGGGAGCAGGTGAGAATGGACAGCTGGAGAACAGGGTTCCAAGGTACACAGAGGGCCCATTCTGAGAACATCCAGAAGCAATTTGTTCATCCATTGAGTAGTTACTGGACACCTGCTATTGAGGTAGTAAACAAAATGGACAAAGTCCCTGAAAACATGGAGTTTATATTCAGCTGAAGAGCCTGGCAATAAACAATTTAATAAATACACAAATAATTACAGATATGTCTATATATATATGTATACATATTTTATATAGTATATGCTATATAAAACATTACATATTAATACATAATAATAATTAATATAAAACTATATAGTATATGCTATATAAAACATTACATATTAATACATAATAATAATTAATATAAAACTATATAGTATATGCTATATAATTATAATAGAATAATATAACATAATTATATAATATACAGTATATATACTGTGTGTTATATATTGTTGCATAATATATATAATTTTAGATAGTATATTAAAGGGGACACTTTACACTTCTTCAATTGTGAGTCAGAGTTACATTATTTAATCCTATTTTTTACTCCTAGGTTTTTGAAGGTGGGAGAACTTCAAGACCATCGGCAATATTGCCATCCCTCTCATGGACTCCATAGGTCTTGACTGTGAAGGATGACAAGTTCTCAGCTCTTGGAGATGGGAAGTAGGCTGAGAAGGAGCTGGTCTGGGCCAGGGGACTAACACTGCCATCACCAAGGAGGCGATACAAAAACTACCACTACAGTGGGTAAAGTGGCATTTGAAATCGTGTTCTAGTCCAGGCTGGTATTAGTGTTCAGAGGTCCAACCAGGCACATAACACCAGAAATCTCTGGGCCCAGGTGCTTTTAGTGACAAGTGAATAGAAGGTCTTGCTTCTAAGAAGGTCCATCCTGGAAGACACAGGACCATGCCTCTGTTAGGCACCCACAGAAGGGTATAGTAATGAGGGCAGGCAAGGGCTGGGAAGGTTGTCAATGAGCCATTCATTGAATGAATATTGATTAAGCTTTTACTATGTGACAGACTCTGTGCTACATTTTAGGAATACAGTAATAAACACTCAAAAACCTTTCTCTTTTGGAGCATATGTTTCAATAGGTCTCAACCCAGAGAGCTATAGATTCCAGTCCTGTTGAGAACTATAGCACAAACTACCAACCAGGTCTGATGACAGAGACTGGTCAGATATTCTGGGTGGTATCTGTGGTTTGTGTGGGCCTACAGAGACCTGCTGAGAAGTCCATCCGGGTTAGGCAGTGACAACAGAGTCCTAACACCATCAGAGTTGGTTTCATTAACTCAGAGCAGGAATGGGGATGTAATCTGCAGAGAGGCAGAAAGGCAAGCGATCCCTGGATGAATAGGGCAGGGGCTAGCCAGTGTCCACTCAGAGTCCCTGAATTTTAATGTAGCTCAGCCACCATACCTTAGCCAGCAGCCAGTGAAAAAGAATAACAGACTCAAACCCCTTTTGCTCTGGCTTCTTCCCTTACTCTTAAAACACCCTCCTCTTCCCCAGAATCCATCAGAGGAATGTCCCTTAGATGTGATGACAGAATTCTCCTTCTTCTGTTTTGACCTCAGCCTCCTGGAGCTAGTGCCCATTCATTTTGGGACTTCATGCTTTTGACTGTTTGGGGTAAAACTCCAAATATGAATATTCTTGGCTCCAGGCCTTCCTGTCTACCCACCTGGCCTGCATCCTGGTCAAACCTACATTAGCAACCTTTAAGAGAGGACTGATCATTTGCCATGAACCCATGGCTCCAGGGGGCAAGCCCGTTGCTATGGCAATGTGGATGAAAGCATGCTGTCACTCTGCTTTGGGACTGTGCGGGCTCAGGAGGGGAACATCAACCTCTGGAGGGAGATAACAACCCTTGTGGGCCAATTATAGCAAAATGCCTCCTTCACCAAGCCCTAGCAGGTCCTATGGCCCGCTGTCCTGCCCCCTCCCTAGGGCTGCCACTATTCCTGCCCCTGGGGAGATTTGCAGGGAATCCAGAGAAATTACCAGGTTTCATTATGCAGCTTTGAATCTACATGCCGATTCTCTAGAGGCCAAAAGGATGACATTTCTCTTTTCTTGCTGAAACGAGGATGTGGAAAGATGATGAGCCCACTAGTGCAACGTGGTGATCCCTCGGGGAAGGGGACCGCTGGCTGCCGGCAGAGAGCCGTGGGGGTCAAGTCCATCATGCCTCTCATTCCGTTGGCACTGGTCGACTTCTACAGGGTGACCTCTACCTGCCGGCCTACACAGCCATTCAACCCACTTTCACAACCATTCTCATGAAGCCCTGTGCATCCTTCTGTCCCAGACTCCTACACCTCCTCTCTTTCTCATTCTTTTCCACCCTGGCCCTTGAATCCTTTCTCCCGTAAGTAGCAAATTGCCCCCAGTTTCTTCTATGGTACTCTCTCCCCTCTTCCCCCTAGCTTGCTGAAGCTGGCCACTCCCCTGAGAGCCTTAACTTCTCCTACAGCCCTCTTAAGTGGCAACTATTTTCTCATATCTCTTGCATTTTAAAACAAGAAGGTGGGGTGATATCCCTATGGGGAGTATAGCTAATAACAAATAATAGAAAAGTCAACTAACACTGGCTTAATGAAGTAGGTTCATCTTTCTTCATATAATTAGAAATCTAGATGTAGATGGTTGCTGGTATTGGTTTGGTGGCCAAAGTGAGACTCACATCTCTGTGATTAACTTTGCCTTCCCTCATAGTTATAATCTCTTGGTCAAAATATGGCCACTGAAGCCCAGCCATCATGTCTGAATTCCAGGCAATAAGGGGCGATGCCTACATCAGGAAAGCAGAAACATCCTCAACTCCTAGTAAACTAAGTTTATGTCTCATTGGCTGGAAGTGTGCCACATGGCCACCCCTTACTGCAAGGGAATCTAGGAAGATAAATATATTTAGCTGGCATATTACAGCCCAGAAAAAAATCAGGTTTTTGTTAGTAAGGAGAAGGGTAAAATATATCAGACAGGGAACAAGCAGTGTCTGCCACAGTGTCCCTGTACTCATTCTCATTATATTTCTACTCTCTTGTTTGAAACCCTGCTTCTTTGCACCCATGCCATTTAGATATTCCACTCTATTCACTGCTCCATATGACAAGCCAACTGCTTGCCCCCTACACCCAAGCCTTGATCAGTCTCGATGGTGCCAGGTGAATAACCTGACCCCCACGGCCCCTTGAGTAGCCACTTTCATCTTCAGTAATTTCCTCTCCACTCCAGCAATTACTTCCATAGACATTCCCTGGACCCGTTCCCCACCTTCAATTCTACCCTTCCAAAATTACTAATTCAAGCACTCCTCTGCTTGACAGTAACCTCCCCTTCCTCCAGGTGTTTATTCAACTGCTCTTGTAACAACTCTGCTTTCGCATCATTGGCACTGCCTGTCCACCGCTATTTTCCCTTGCTGTCCAGCATGGATTTCATGAGTAGTATTTCTATACTCCATCTATATCCTACATTTCTCTAATCCCATCTTTACTCACCTAGACTTCCTTGCCCCTCCATTGCTTCCACTTATCTAAACTCTATACCTGAGTGAACCCAACTACCTGTTTTTCTATGCCTGCATCTAAGCAGCTGAGCATTACCCAGTGGAGCAGATTAATTCCACTTTATGTTCAAGGTTGTTAACTTCAATAGGTCCTCATACTACACAAAAAATTTAGTACAGGTCTCCATCTCATTTTCCAATTTTCTACAGTGACTATGGAAACCCTTTTCCTTTCCTCAAACCTCCAATCTCCCTTCCTCTTTTCCTCTCTTAGCAGATGGTCTCCTTACACTACAGTAGAGAGAAAACAGGAACTCTCACATGGGACCTCCCTTAACCCCCTGAGTATTTCTACACCTGTCCTGTGGCTCTTTCTCTCCCGTTCTGATAGCAGAACTGTCCTTCCTTTCATCTCAAGAGAATCTCTCCTACCTTCCGTGATCTTTCACTACCAACTATGTCTTTTCTCCTTCCTTCCTGCATATTTAACCTCTTTCCCTTACCCAAATCTTTCCCACTTATTTATACATCCTCTCATTAGAAAGCAAAATAACAACCATAATTCACTTCCAGTGACTACCTGATCTCTCTCCTCACCTTCTCAGGTCAAATTGTGCAGAGAACTGCCTGTGTTTTCTATCTCCATTTCTGCATCTCCCAACCTCAATCCACACCATTCTAATTTCCAGTCAGTCCTACTATAACATAGCAGCTTCTGCTGAGATAATGATTTACTCTCATATCAAAATCACTATTTTGGTATTTCTCTTATTTGGTCATCCCCCACTCCAGCATTTCCTTCTCTATATCCTTTCCAAATGCATCCATCTCTACTTGTCCAGTAAATTATGGACATCCTCCAGACCTGCTTCAACAATGTTTCCTCCTTCACTCCATACTTTCTAAGTGCACATGAACCTCAAGTTTATATCTTCACTCCAGACTTCTCTGAGCTCCTGACCTGTAACATTTAATTTTCAACTCAACATGTTTTCTTATATAAAATACTTAACTTTATAAAAGTCACCTGTATTAATTACCTATTACTGTGTAACAAATATCCCCCAACTTAGCACTTACAAGCACAAACCTTTATTACTGCACAGTTTCTGTGGGGCCGAAACCCAGGTGTGGCCTAGCAAGATCTCTGGGCCCAGAGTCTCTCAGGAGGCTGCTATCAGGTGTCAGCCAGGGCTGCAGTCACCCAGGCTCAAATGAAGGACAGCCCACTTGGAAGCCCACTCGTGGCTGATGGTGGGTCTCAGGTCTGTGCTCCTTGTTGTTTGTGGACATCAGTTCCTTACCATGGGGCCTCTTCCCAGGGCTGCTGGAAGTGTTGCAGATTACTTCCCCAGAGTGAGGATTCAGAGAGAGACAGAGAAAAAAGAAATGGGATGGGAGAATGGAAATCACAGTCTTTTTATAACCTAATCTCAGAGGTGACCTTCCATCACTTTTGCCTTTTTCCTATTCATTTGAAGCAAACAGTAAGCCCAGCCACACACAGGGTAGAGGGACTATATAAGGATGCAAACACCCGAGTCAGAGCTCACTGGGAATTTTTTTAGAGGCTGCCTACCACATGACCTCCCCTGCATCAACACAGATAAACTCTTGCTCTACCTACCCCACTATCCCCAACCCTAGAAACATGGCTTTCCTCTCACTTTGTCTTTCTCAGGGACCAACACCTCCATCAATCGCATTCTGCAACCCAGAAATTTAGGAGTCTTTCTGAACTATCTCTTCAATCTCATGTCTCCAGATCTGATCATCACTGAATTCTGTCATTTTTTATCCAGCTGCCACTCAAATATGGTCACTATCTCCATCGAAACCACTGTCAGCCTAGTGATGGTCAGAAGTAACCATTGTTTTCTGCTTGGATTTGCAGTTGCTGACTCACAGGTTCTTCCCCATCCACTTGCACCACCTCCTCCTGTCAGGCTTCCTTGTTGCAGACAAAGTGATCTCTTCACCATGTAAATATGTCTGTGACATCCTTCTGCTTAAAACTATTAAATAGCTTCCCATTTCCTATTGAATAAAAACAAAACTCCTCCATTGCTTATACTGGTTTGGCCCCTCTCCACCTCCCAGCCTCACCTCTCACGGGGCACCCTCTCACTCTCCTCTCTCCAGGCATGCTGGCTTTCTCAGTCCTACTAGCCACAGGGTATATGTGCTGTTACCTGCTTAGGGTATTCTTCTCTCCTTTTCACCTAGTTAACTCATACTCAGTTTCTAGATCTTAGCTCAAGCATTGTTTCCATGGGAAATCGCCCTTGTAGAACCTCAAAGACTTTTGTCCTTCTCCCTTGAAGCTTTTGTCATGCTTGCAAATTTATATTAGTTTGTGTGATTATTTTTCTGTCTATTCTATATTCTGTAAGTGTCATCAACTCAGGGTCACAATACTGTTGTATCTCCAGCATTTAACATACTTGGTGCATAATAGATGTTTAATCAACATGGAGCAAACGGAGTTTCTTAACCACAACTCTTCCCAGATGGATGCAGCCAAAGGGTATATGCTGGCTTGGCCTGGTGAGGATGATTGGGCCATTATATGATGAGATTCCACCTGCTTGCCTAGGATGCTGGAGTGGCCTGGGCTTCAGATCCAAGCAGGTTTTACTAGAGTTTTAAGGGATGAACTGGCCTAGATTACTGATCTTGGCAGCTAAGCCTACTTAATTGACTTTTGAATCCAATTAGGGTAAAAGCATATAGACTATCGGGCCATACCTTCGTGCTCACTGGCTCTGGCTGGGTCTGGTTTGTTCTGAATGGGCTACTGGGACTTCTTGGGGGAAAGATCATCTGCTTCCTTCTTTCATCATTAGGAGGGAGCAATTTTGACTACTTCTTTGTTCCATTGCTTCTTTCCCTAGAAATGCCACAGTGTGCAGGTAATGGAGAATGCTGACTTGCCTATCCATCCTGTCCCCAGTTCTTGTAAGAATGGGGAACTGAGGCTCTGCTGGGACTGTGATGTCTCACTGTTGTACAGATAGGGGAATGCTTCTTACTTCTGCTCCTCGTCTCCTGTTGGTTTATCTTCCGTGAATTGGAACTACCCAGGGTTCCATCTCTGGAGCACCTACAATCTTATTTAAGTACAAGAGGCAGTGGAGTTGAAAGGGACTTCTCAGTCCTCCCTAGTCTTCCGATTGCTCAGGAATAGAATCTTCTTCAACCTCAATGAAGAGGCAGGAGCACCGCTGGGTGAGGGCTCAACAGACTTCCCAGACTTAGCGCATGTCAGCCCCACTCCCTTCAGCATAGTATGAGAAACCTTGACTTTTATACTGAGTGCAAACTTTATCTAAAGTAGCAGGAATTTAGCAGAATTTTCAGTGAGAAAATGATGTGGTGAAATGAGGATTGTTGAAAAATTAATCTGATGACCTCGTGCCTTAAATTTCAAAAAGAGAAGTAGCTGGGGCAGGAAGACGGGGGCAGAAGAATAATTCAAAGCAAGAAGGGTTGAGGGTGTGGACTACTGCTGTAGCCGGAGATTATGGAGGACTGGATGAATCTGAAATATTTGTGCAAGAAAAGATCAATAGGTTATAAGTGTGGACAGAGAAATCAAATGATTCCCTATTGAAAAGTTGGGCGATGTCTGCCCTCTATTTGCTTTTGCATGCACAAGCACCAAGAGTACCCACATGCCTTGTCACCCACATTTATCACCACTACCTCCCATTCACTCGGACTGACAGCTCCCAGTTCCTCTAGGCTCCCTTACTGATTGGATACACTGCTCTGCCTTAACTTGCAATATTCTCTCTGAAACATCATTTTTATAGCCACTCTGCAGCTCTACATACACAACTGTAGCCAAGAGGCATTCTCCCTTTTCTCCTGACCTCTGGAACTTCAGCCACCTGCCTGGTCCTGCCCTGCTAACAGGAAATATGGGCCAGCAGGGGGTACGTTGAGGAGAGGGAATACAGTAAGTTCAGTTTCGGTTTGAGGAGACAGTGGAGTCCCCTTTTGAGTAGTGGTAAATGGAGGCAGGAGAGGCTGTGGGCAGCCTAGACTGAAACAGGTGGTGAGAGGAGAGATGGCTGGTAAGGCTGAGAGAGCAGAGAGGGAGAAGAGCTGGGGACCAAGTTTACTTACCCAGGGAGAGGCAGAAGGAGAGGCCTGAGCCACTGCCTTTATCAAATCATCTGTGGTCAATTTTAGATTAGTCGAGCCCTGGTTTTCCTGTTTGCAGGCTTAGTAGGAATTCTGCTTCTCTTTCCTTCCATCCTCTTGCTGACCAATTTGGCTGATTGACAGCAGTTCCGCCAGAGGGTGAGCAGAAGAAATGAAGGGAGATGAAAATCAAATTGGTAAATTTTATCATTTGTTAACAGCTCTGGGAAAAGGCAAAGTGGTGAGAATAGTGGGCAATTGTTTAAGAATAGTAATAAAAATGCTATTTTGTAAAGGATTTGTATAATTGATTTGTGCGTTGCTATTCCCAAATGCTACTGAGACCAAAGAGTTGGCAGCATTTGTTTTATTATTGCTTAGCATTTAACCTTTAGATTTAGCAAACAGTAGATACCACCTGTCTTTGCTATGTCCAGTAGATGAGGGAAAGAGTTTACTCATATGTAAAATTTGATCCTGTTACCTTTAGTCTATCATTTCAAGCTGTCAAGATATGTTGTATAAAATCCAGATCCTGCTATCCAATATGTTGTCCATGCTTCCTTGCTCTGTGTGACAGTAGCAGGTATATAAGAGAGTATAAGAGAATGTCCCTAGAACTGGGAAAAGAAGTAATCCTCTGAGAATTGAAATGTTTCAAAATTAATAAATATAAGCTTTATAAGATCAGATGTAACCCATCCTAACAGATGAGTTATAATCTCTAATAGATGACAAAGACTGGATCCTTGACTAGTTAACAATAAGAAAGCAGTAATCTAATAATCATGTAACTGAACATGAATCTATCAATTCCCCTCTCCTCCAACAGGAAAATCTGAAGTCAGCTGTGGTTAGCAGAGGTCTCCATATAAGAATCTTAGTGCTATGGGAGCCAGGCAGGTGGACCTGCCCTCTGAGTGGAGCTAGTCAGCTGGTACTGTGAAAACAAGCCACACTTAAAGAGCTAGGTCCTCCTTAGCTCCAACAGATTGATGTCAGTTAAGAATGTGGACCCAGTGTGGACAGATTTTTCTAGAGTCTAGAAGTGACTGTACAAGCCCAAAACCAAACATACAAATCTAAAAACCATGTTTGTGGATCACCAGGTACCTCTGGTATGAAATGTCATAAATGCATTGGACAGTAACAAGCTGTCTGTATATACACCAAAGGAACCAATGGGCCAAGGTGTGGCATTTCCATGCCTGTCACAGGACTTCTCAAGTGGGCAGTCTGAGTAAACAGTCCTTGGAAATTATCCAATTCCCTTTGCTTTAATTTTCTACTCACCAAACACACTTCTGCCTACTTAGTCGATTTTACACCGAACTTTGAAACTAGCAAGGGGATGATGTGAATAGGCAAATACCTATTTCAGTCCCTAGAAAGGGCTATTCCTGTGTATCAAAAACACAGCATTCTGATTTTCTGTTGAACTTACTTCGGTTTGTTTAGCATTTGTCCGCCTTATGGAACTTTGGACAGCTCTGAGTGAGCTAACAAAAGCAGATTCTGGGGCTGAAAAGCTGCTTATGTGACCCTAATCAATAGTGATTTGAGTTTGTGTGTCACCCCCTCCCCTTTCAGAAATCAGCTGGTGGGACTTCTTTTATAAATGTGGCAGGCACCATTTGGCTAATGCATGAGGTTAAATCTTTAGCCTTGTCATTGGTCAATTTTGTAATTCAAAAATCTCTTATTTCTTCTTTTGACTTTCAATCCCTACTCTTCTTCCCATGTCCTTGCCACCCCCCCACCCCCACCCCCACGCTTCCATCCATGTAGCATCTAAGTGCTTTTTGGGTATCCACCATCTTCCATTTTCTTTACTTTTTTTCTTTACTTTCTCACCTTTCTCTCATTTTATTCCTTTCATTGTTATTTTTTAATTCTTTTAATTTGGAAACTCACCTGCTTCCTTAGTGATCTTATTAAGAGTCCATATGTTATAGGTTCACCAGGACTGAAACATCCCTTTACAGCTGGGCTGATCAATATGGAACGCATGATATGTGGCTGGTCTGAGATGAGATGTGCTGCAAGTATAAAATGCACACTAGATTTCCAAGACTTAGTTTTAAAAAATTAATTAATTTCAACTATTTATTTTTACTTTTTTAATGTGCCTATTGGAATATGTACAAGTACATATTGGCTATCAATATAGTTCTATTGTTAGTGCTGCTTTAGGGGATTTTAATCTCAATATTCTTTACATCTCTGTAAGTAGCCTAAAGACTATATTAAAAACTCCATTTGGCTGGAATATCCCCGAGTTAATCCTCCATTTCTCTTTTCTCTATCCTGACCCACCTTCTTAAGTCATTCTCACTTTTCCGTTTCTGTAAGAGGTGAAAAGAAAGAGGAAATTTTTTTTTTGATTCAGAAGTAGGCACAGGGCAAATACATTTATATGTAATGGGAATATATGAAAAACTGAAAGTAAGCAAGTCTGCCTGTAGACAATCTGTTAACAAAACACAGTAATATATACACCTGGACAAGCACCAGTCCCATGGGGAACCCGGCAACTTTAATTACTTTACCTATAGGCACTACACTGAGAATTGTTTCTTTCCACTTGAGTGGAAGCATGCTCTATGCCAGAGCGAGCTGTCAGGAGTTTTGCTTCTCTTATACTAGGCCTGTCTTCTGGGGCTCACTTTTATATGTTATATAAATGATAATTAATACATGTAGCACGCTGACAATAATGAGCGTGGGCTGGAGAGTCAGAGCGATCTAGGTTTGATCCTGGCTTTGCCACTTGCTAACTCGATGGCCTTGTGCCAGTTACTGCACCTCTGGAGACTCACTTGCTAATCTGTGAAGTAAGGGTAACAGGACTACAGCTTCTGATGGGTCAATACCCTGCCCTCCTAGCCATTCTCCACTCCCAGTTTTAAAAAAACCTGCTCTGCATATATGATTGTCTCTGCCTTTTGCCAAAGAAATTTTATTCCTTACCTCAAGTCTCATGAAAAGAGCTTTGAGGAGACCACTGGTCTGGGTACTCGACATTTGTCTGCTGCAGTTTGCATGACCTGAGTAACTGGTCTCTGAATCAGACTGGAAAACATTCAAGTGAAGAACTGTGGCTTGCAGAACACATCAGTGGTGGCAAGGAGAGAAGGCTGGTGAGAAAATGCCCACACTAGAGTATGTGCAGGCAAAGAACATCTGTGTATTTCCTGCAGACCAAAAGTAGAGAGAGAAAGCCAGCCAAGAGCTGTCTTAAAGGGACTTTGTCTAAGGACACAAAAGCAGTCCCAACTATGAGGGACTCCTTGCAGAATTATGAAAACCAAGGTTTGCAGAGGGAATATAGCAGTGAGGGAAGTTCCTGATGCAGAGGGATCTTTGAGGAGCCCTGGATGTGACCCAAGAAAGTGTCCACTTTTAAACACTTGTGAACTCACATAAGCCACTCTAGAGATACAGCATTATACTTAGAGGGTATAGCCCCATATGCTTAATATAGTTTGTAATTCCTCTTTCTCCAGCTGTATTTCAATCCTTTTCCCTCACCAGCTGTACAAAACTTCCTCAGGTACTTTAACTCATCTTTTCATGCTAGGCTGAGGTCTAGTCTGGGACCTCTCTGGGGATTCTCTGGTTTTCAGAATAATTCCTGTTCTATGCAAACTGTTACCAGGCCTGCAGATGGCCATTAGCCAGATAAAGATAAGATGCCCCTTATAGAAGTAGTAGCAAATGAGACTAACATTATTCATTAAGAATTTGTGCCTATCTGCTGTTTCAGCCAGTACTGAGATGGGACATCCAAGCACAGCTAGAACACAGTGCCTTCCATCTTAAGCCCACCATGTTAAATGGCCTGAGTCAGCTTAAAAATGACCTCTGGAGTGGTAAGGTGGGGATGAGGGAACAAGATTATTCTGTGTGCCATATTTGAATGCATGCCAATAAATAATGAGGTGTTGAAAATGAAAATTAAGTGCCAAAAGCACTTAGATAACTGAAGAATCATCTCCTACCTCAAGAGTTTGTGTTGGGCTTAATACGGGGGTCAGACTCTTAAGGACTGTCCTGAAGTGGCTGTGGAAAAACAGAGCCTGAGAATTCCATATTTGGAGATGGAGCGAGAGCTACCTGGGGTGAGGGACTAGGGAGAAAATGTTGGATTGGTAGGTGGGGGTGGACTGTGAAGAGTGCAAATGCCAGGATGAGGGGGCCAAATGCCCTGGGGAAGTCCACATAGTGAAAGAATGACTTTTGAGGAAGCTAAGCCTGTTAAAGCTTTTTTTTTTAACGTTGAGAGAGCCAAATAATCCATTTCAGACTGTTTTAAGACAAAAGAGGAAGTTAAGAAGGAAGACCAGCAGGGACAGAGCTATTCCTTTCCTATTTTACCAAGCACTAGGGACACATCACTAACACATGCTGATTTTAAAATAAAATCTTAATGGTTAGGTAAGATTTTTGAGTGCTTCAAATATTTTTCCTTTGTGGAAGCCAGTTGGAAGGTCTTGCCCAGGTATTGCAAGGGAAGAGTTTAGGTGACACCTCCCATTAGAGTATCGGCACAAGGTATCCCCAAAGTTCCACCAGCCATCTGTCCATCCACATGCCTACCCAGCCACCCACTCACCATCCATCCGACCAGTCAACATCTTTTTGAGTGCCCACCGTGTTCCTGGTCCTATGCTGTGTGCCCAAGTTGCAGCAAGTGTGTTGGGGGTGGAGAAAATGAAACAAGAATGGCAAAACTTTGATAATTATCACAGTTGGGAGATGTGACTTGGGGGTTCATTATACCATTTCTTCTGCTTTTTGGTATGTTTGATAACTTTCCTGATAAAGTTAGGTACGTGTCCTATCTCCCAAGCGAGGAAGCTAGATTTGATAGATACCTCTTGCAAAGACAAGTTCAGCTTTGAAATTACTCCCTCGGTGTTAGTGAAAGAGAAGTCCTTGGGGGCAGGGTGCAGGTGTTGGCCAGGAAATGTCTCCTGGTTGAAGGTAACTGTTCTCTAAAATGTATACTTGCTCAGTTCCAGTAAAGAAGCCAACACCTGCAGGCCTGACTTAGCCTCAGGCTGCGCTGGGAAGCGCTTACGGGTCAGGGTCAGGAGGGAGGAAGTAGCCCCTGCTGCACTGACAGCGTCTGATTCCGTTTTCTTCTTTCCCCGTTTGATGAAAGCCCGCAGAGGTAAATAGCTATTCAGACTTGTTCAACATCCCCTGAGCATTTTGTGCCAGGTGCTGTACAAGGGCTTTGGGTCAGATTCTGCTTACACCATCTTACAGAAAATGGAACGGGGAGTCGGAGGAATTCCTTAAGGTGTTGGGAACGTGACACAATCAGGCAAAGGGAGTTCAGGAACCGGTTCTAACAATCCCAAATTGTGGAGAATAGATCAGAAACTTGAGATCAGGTAGAGGTAGCTTGGTGGCTCTGAGGAAGTCACTGGGCCTCCCTGAGCTGACTCTATTTCTCTACCTATAAAAGGAGTACAGTAAAACCTCGTAAGCTTATTTATTTGTTTTTTAATTAAGGATCGGAGACCTTTAATGTCAAGATCCTGGCACGAAGCGTGGGCTCCATAAATGGCAGCCATCATTCTTGGCCAAGTGCCGGCGCATCCTCCCGGGCGCGCCTCCCGCGGGGTCCCTCGGGACCGGCCGAGCCCGCCCCCGCGGCTCCGGTCTGGCAATGCTCGCGACAGGTGGCCCAGCATCTTGGTGCCCACGCCCCGGAGCTAGCGGGGAGCGCAGGCGGGTTGGATGACCCAGGTCATCCCTGCAGGATCACCTCCCTCCCTCCACACACCCGACGCAGGTGAGGTTTCCGGCCCAGGCCACGGGGACAGCGACCTTAGGCGAGATCGAGGCGGACTGCGCAGTCCGCCGCGCGCAGAGGGGTTCTGGGGGCGCCCCCTCCCTCGCCCACATTCACCCGAGGCTCAGTCCCGGCGCCGGGGCCCGCGGGCTGCGCGTTCTGCGGCTGCGAAAACCCGGAGAGGCGGATCGGAGCGCGCTCGCAGCCAACTCCTCCGCGGTCCGGCCGCCGAGCTGGGCATGCTCAGTGCGGCCGCCGCGCCGCCGTCCGCCAACTCGGAAGCTAGCGCTCCGGGGCCGTGGGGGCGAGAACGCCCGCGGCGGCGAGCCGGCGTCTCCCGCCGCCCCCAGACAGTGGCAAACTTCGCGGCGTCCCCAGGGTTGGCTGGGACGAGAAAGATACCTTACAAATAAAATCAAACCCAACACCCCATCCCAACCCGAATTGTGGAGGCTACGGCCGCCGGAGTGCCGCCGCCGCCGGCCCCTGCCCACTAGCGGGGGACCAACAGGTAAACTGTTGGGGCGGGGAGCGGGGAGGAGGACCTGCGGCCGGGCCGCGGGCGGCGGGCTGGAGGGGTCCGAGACGCCCGCTGGCCGGCCGCCCCCCTCGGCGCTCAGAGCCCGCCGTACTCACCCCCGCCTTCCCCAGCCCCTGGAGGGGCAGCAAAGGGTTAAGTCGGCCCCGCGCCACAGTGAGCACGGCCCCCTCCAGCCGCGGCGACCGCCAGCAGCGCGCCTCGGCGCCTGCCCGGAGCCGCCGAGGGGACCGAAGCCGCAGATGCGCCACCGGAGCCCGGCGGGCGTCTAGGAGGCACCAGCCGCTTCCCCGCCGCCCGCATCCCTGCCTCCCCCACCCTCTCCAGGCCTCTCACCGCGCCCCTGCCAGGTCCGCGCCCGGGTGGCGGGGTCTGCGGGGCGCGTGGCAGCCGAGAAGGATCCCTGCGGAGGAGGAGGGGCGGGGGCGAGCCGCTCCGCAGTCTCTTTGGACTGGAGGGCCACCCTCGCCTTGGGCGAGCACTTGAGTCACCCGCCTCGGCTCCCAAGAAAAGTTTTTTTTACCCCCCCTTGCCCCTCCTCCGCTCCCACCCTGAGCCCGGCTAGGGTGGGTTTGGGTCCATTGGTGAAAAAAGTCACACGTTCCCATCAGCTGCTCCTCCCCCTGGGGACAGGGGGGGGGACTGGAGACAGGCGCCGCGAAGGACCCAGGAGGACCTCCAGCCTTTCCGCCGCCGCAACTGGAGCGGTGCGTCCCGGGGCTCCAGCGCGGCCGGGGCCCCGCCGAGGGCTGCCCCCATCAGTGCGTGTCTGCGTGCCGGTCAGCGGCAGCATCCAGCTGCTTTATTCCTGCCTGCAGCGCCACAGCGAGCGAGCGAGGAGGGGGAGAGAGGGAGTCTGTCTGCAAAGTGCTGCTCCCTGGTGCTCAGAGGCGGCTGCTCCAGCTCCAACTCTCATTCATTTCACCGGTTAACATGAGAGATCATGGCCGCCTTCGGGCTTCTCAGCTATGAACAGAGACCGCTGAAACGCCCCCGGCTCGGGCCGCCCGACGTCTATCCGCAGGACCCCAAGCAGAAAGAGGTAAGGGCGCCGGCGGCCTCCCCGGCAACCGGGGCCGCGCTCCGCAGCGCTGACCCGGGCCAAGTTGGCCCAGCTGGCATCGCCGGCGCTGCGGGGGAAGGGTCGGGAAGGGGGACTGGCGGCGGGAATCGGGCTGGGAGGCTGGGGGACCCTTGGCGGCGGAGACCGAGCGGCTGTCAGTCCCTCGCTCCACTGGGCGGTCTCTCTCCGGGTGCCGGGTCGCTTCCCTGTTACCGGGCCTTGCGCGGCACCGCCGGGAGCTTCACTGGGTTCTTCCTTGCCGAAACGCTCCTGCTCGATTTCCCCCCACTTCTGCCTGCTTTATTTTTCTTCCTGCCGCTTCGGTAAATCCTTGTAAACTTTTTGAAAAATGTTGGAATGCCGTACATCCAACACAGGTCTTGTGTTGTGGGCCAACTGAGCGGAGGTGGGGGGTGGGGGTACTTCTCTTTTCAAATTTTCCAGTTTGGAGTGAAGTCGTTTTTATCTAGGTGATAAATATTTAGCTCTATGAACGTACTTCTTTCTGCATCTCCCTTACAAAAATCAGTATTAAGGGGCAACCTGATTTTCGTCCCTAGAGGCGCTTGGCTTAATTGCTGGAGGCTGTTTTGTATGTGTAAAAGCAGTCCGGTTACCTTGGAAGGGAATAGGTACTGGGATTGTTTAATTCTTTGAATGAAATTAATTGGAGAAACCTTGACTCTTGGACTAGGTAGCTGGCTTTCAATGGCTAGAGTAACCATGGTATTTTGTAGCCATGTATGTGTTTGTCAGTAGTTAACAAGTAATTATGTAACAACTTTCCAGTTATAATCATCACCCGTGGCTACACAGTTTGCCCAGGGACTTGCATTTTATTTATTTATTTATTTAGATCACCTGCTACCCGGCTGTGCTTTCTGAGTTTGCCAAATGCAGCCCACCCATCCTCTGTTTTCTTTAGCTAAACATGAAGTGAGCACATTTCAGAACTGCTTTCCTGGAATCTAATAAACCCTCTATTAAAAAGTTTACAGGCCTGCTGACATCACAGGAAGGGCTTTTTAAAGAGGGCAAGGAAGGGGGCCTTAAGACTTTCCTTTTGATAACTATATCTGTTGCAGTAATAGAGGAAGAATGCTTTTGGAAATTAAGGAGTGACAATTCCCTTTAGAGGTTTAGCCCTTTAAACATGTGTGAGCACCCACGGAGTAATTTAGGATGGAGCTGGGAAGCTTTTACAGGTGGTTCTCACCAGGGGCTTACCATGAGGATAATGTGATGAAATTTTGCAGATTTCTTCCCCACCCATTTCTTTACCTGTAACTCTGACCCAGGACTTAATCCTGGAAGTAACAGACACCAAGGACCACATGTAAAGAAAGTTAATCACTTAAAAATGAGGGACCAGAAATTCTTAAAGTTTTGGTGGGGACAAGGACATGGATTGGCTGATGTTTATTATCTTGTAATTAATGTCTTGCCACATCTTTCCAGAGAGAGCGTAGCTGATAGCATCTCTCCAGTTAAGGGATGGTGGTCTGGGGTGTGGTGCCAAGCAGTCTTATTTCTCATTTATTTCTTAGGTCATTTGTAATTTGGGATTGGGGCCTTTTCAATTCTGGAAAATAATATTTTTGCTTCTTAGGGTCTTAACATTTTATGGGATTCTAAAACTGGAAGTGCCTACTTCATATAACTTCCTTTTGACAAAGTGAAACAGGCCAGGGAAAGCTTCCCTGACTTAATCCAGATGTGTGGTGAATATGCAGAGGAGCTGGACCACCAAACCAGTTTTTATGTCAAGACCAATACTGTATTAAGGACGATTTATGTTAAATAGTGTTGTTCTCATGTTACTCCCTTTCCCCCAAGGCAGCCAAGATTTCATCTCTCTGGAGCAGAGAGTCAAAGTTATGTGTGACTGTAGCCAAATTTGAATACAGTATGGAACAGGTGCTTGTCTGTTCTTGGGTGGTGGTGTGGTTAGCAGTGTTTCACAAACCTTAGTTATTTATGTATTGCCTCAAGATTTCAGCCCTATCCCTGATTACCTATACTTTTATTCTAATGTTTTCTTTAAGTTGACTTTTAAGAAACTAAATGTTTCCTAGGCAGGAATACACGTGGAGTCATGGATTTGATGTAATATATATATTGCATAAATGTATATATGTAATGTAAAATTTATAGGAAATCATACATATTTTTTTACTTAATATTTTATACACATATGTGGTTATATGTATTCAAACTATAATTATTAAGACTTTAAAAAGTTCGTCTGTGCACCTGAAAATCATTGTTGTATTCTATGAAGATGTGTGTTCCACATTATGGGAAATGCTGATTTAATGGAGGAAGTGTAGGCTTCCAATTGAGCAGACCTGGATTTGGATTCTGGCGCAACCTCTTTGCAATTGTATGGCCTTGGGAAAGTTGTATAACTTCTCATTTGTGAATTAGTATAATAGTGCTTTTCAGATATATTTGAGAATCCTTGGTTTGAAATGCATTACATTTGTGTGAGAAAAACCTTCCTCCTGGTAGAAGCTATACTTATTACTGTGGTGGTAACTCATTGTTGTTAGCCTGTGCTAATAGTATTCTGGAAAGGAGCTCCCAGGGGATAGGTTGGAACCTGTGAATGTAGACAGCATGCAGACAAGTATGGCCAACAAAAGTGGTGATGGTGGTAGTGCTGGTGGGAGGATTGGAAGCTTGACCTGCTTGATTGATTAATTATATTCATTGGAGAGCTTTCTGTGCATCAGCATTCCACAGGACTTTATTATATATTATAATACTTTGCCCTCTGGAAACACAGACTGTCCTCAAACCTTGAAAGCAGGGAATTAGAAAAGTGGGAGACATCCTTGAGTTCTCCTTCTCCCTTATACCCCATAACACATTTGTGAAGATAGATGTCCAGTCCAATTCCCAAATATATTTCCAACCCATCCACTGCTCCTCAGTTTCAGCAATATACTTGATTGCTTTTCTATTTCAGGCTGACTTTTTCCTGCTCAAGGGCTCTTGGCACATGCTGATTTGTCTACTTGGATACCTTTCTGCTTACTGCCTCCCTACCATTCTCCCTTACTCTTCTCACCTTAGCCTGTGGTTGGGTGGCAGGCTCTGGAGCCAGTCTGCTTGGGTTTGGATCCTAGCTCTGCTGTTTACATACTTACTATTCTCCCTGTGCCTCAGTCTCCCTTCTTAAAGAGAGGAGGAGAATACCACCTATTCCATCAGGTTGTTGGAAGATTAAATGGATAATACATGTAAAGCACCTAGACTAGAGTCTGGCATGGATTCAACATCCAACTATTTGCTGTTATAAACTACTGTCAGGCCTCCCCTTCATTATTCAGGCCTCAGCCCAATGACCTCCTCAGAGGCCTAATGTATCATTTGTAATTATGTATTGATTTGCATGTTGCCATGCCCCACTAAAGGGTCAGTGTCCTGGGGACAAGAATGAGAGAGCTGTTTTGGGCATCATTGAAGTGCCTGGCACCTACTGCAGTTAATCCCTGGGATGTGTGGGCATGAATACTTGTTGCAGTGTATGAATTAAAGTGGAAACGAATGAATAAGGAGGAGATCTGGTAACTGAAGGGTGTTAGGGAAAGGCTAGGTTAAGGCAGAAATCATCGTTGACATTTACCTTGGAGGCTACAAGGATGAAAGCTAAATTAAACCCTACAAGTAGGCAGGAAGAGGAGTTTTACCTGGGGAAGAGGCCTAAACAGTTGGAATAGTAAATATTTCAGGAAATGAAATTAGTTAGAAAAATAGGCTGGGGCCATAGTGAGATTTCCAGACATCAGGAACCAGAGAGGCCCACCAGCAGGGAGGGGTGGGTGTAGGGTTCCATATTGGAGCAGGGTGGTGTCTGCAAGCCGTTCTCAAACTTGACACATCTGAATCACCTGTAGGACTTGTTAAAAACAGATGGCTGGTATTTTCAGATTCCATAGGTATGAGATAGGGCCCCTTAATTTGCATTCCTAACAGATTCCAGGTGATCTGATGTTGCTGGTTCAGGCCCCTTGTTGAGGACCCTGACCTGAAGAGAAGGCGTCCGGTTCTGCAGGGGCTGGAGTCGTGCCTGGCGTAGGTAGGGCAGATCAGACGTCTGTGTCCTGCAGAAGTCGCAGCAGTTGGTTCAGCAGCTCCCTCAACCAGGATTTGGTGCACTTTTCCCAGAAACTCTGCTCTCTCTTAGCTCAGGTCTAAGGGAATGAGCCAGGAAGTCTTATTCGTCCTCCAAAGGCTTTCCATTACACTTGGAATAAAACACAAACTCCTTACCTAGGCCTCCGGGGCCCTATCAGTCTGGCACTTGCTCACCTCCACAACCACTGCGTGTAGGCAGACTGCCTGGCTTTGAGTTCTGGCTTCATCACTTACTGCCTGTTTAACTCAGATATCACCTATGGGATGGAGTTCATATTTGTTCCTATTTCATGGGGTTCTTGGGAAGATAAAATGAGATTTGAACCATGCTTGGTACACAGATGGCGAGGTAGGGCAGGGACATGGGACAAGCCTCATGATTAACTTTCCCTGCCTATGATGGCACTCAGTACAGGTATAACTTCTCCCTTGTTAAATGATCCCAGGGGTTCCCACTGCACTTCAAGTAATACCCACAAGACCCTAGCAGCTGGGATCTGGCCTCTGGGCCTTGAGTCACCACCTCCTGACATCCTCATCCCCCTCCTGGCTCTGTGGTCTGACCACTGGCCACATCTCCCTCATTCCAACAAGCCCAGCTCTTTTGTGTCTAGGTTCCTGTCCTTGCTGCCTTTGCAGTCATTTTTCTGTCTTTTGGTTCTTAGACTCGCAGGGAGGCCTTTCTTGTTAACCCAGCTTCCCTCATTTATGCCAGGTCATTATCTTGTGTTACTATGTTTTGTAGTGCTTGTTACTGTCTGAAATTGCATTATTGGTTGATTCTTCTCTCCATGGTCTTCCTTCCATAGCAGGGGCTTGTCCAAGGTGTCTCTAGT